GATTTACATCAAATCCAATATTCTTGATAAATTATGAATATTTTAGCAATAGATCAATAATGCAACTCCACATCTTGAGTTGTTCGTTCGTTTTAATCACAACTGTTTATATTGACATTCTGATGAGTGACAATGATGCACACTAAAATTATTGTCAATAAAACTCGGTTAATATTTATGAGTTTTAATTCACAAGATAGTCCTCTCTACAATATACTAACAGACTCAATATTTTGAACCCAATGATTCTATTACATTTGTTAGACAAGATAATGCTTAAGTCTTTTCAAATCTTAAAAAGAAATACAAATTTCTTATCCAAACATACCATTTTTTTTAATGTATGAAGTTTCTATAAGTGCCTTCAGTGCTCATAACATTGATGAAAGCAAGATTATGGGAATGTGAGTGGTAGCTCTACATTTTTTATCTTATGTAAAATCCCTCCTCCAGCTAAGAAATTCTAAATTTCTAAACTGGTAAGCTGGTATATTTACCAGGTGCCACTCCAAATAATATTTTTCTACATATCTACTATAATAAAATTATAAGACCTCCAATGATACTGGGCTGGAGCAATAGCACAGTGGGTAAGGCATTTGCCTTGCATGCAGCCGACCCGGGTTCGATTCTTCTGTCCCTCTTGTAGAGCCTGGCAAGCTACTGAGAGTGTCGCACCCACACAGCAGAGCCTGGCAAGCTCCCCGTGGTGTATTCAATATGCCAAAAACAGTAACAGCAAGTCTCACAATGGAGACGTTACTGGTGCCCGCTCGAGTAAATTAAAGAACAATTGGAGGACAGTACTAGAGTGCTACAATGATACTAGATAGATCATTAAAATTAATCGCTTCTATTCTAGACAAACACAGTAACAATTGTCACAATGGAGACATTACTGGGCCCGCTTGAGCAAATCGACGAACAACGAGAGAACAGTGACTGACAGTGATTCTAGTCTATATGTCACGCAAGTGAAAGCCTAAATTGAATTCTACACAGACTTGGATGGTTCAGTTTTGTCTTTCTCTATGGGTCCACTCACTCAAAACTATCAGCTTCTGTCATTCCCAAGTTTCCCATTTAGTTTGGTAATTTCTAATATGTAGACATCAAGTTCAATAAAGTTTTCAGAAATAAGAAAATGTTTATTTTTAATGCATCACTTAATGTTTATATTTTAATTTAGTATTTCATGTAACATTTGGTATTCTAACCAAATCTTCAAAGTTTACTGAAAACATTTCAGATGTTAAAAAATAATTCTGATGTGAAATTTTCACTATATTTATCCAAAATATATATCACTGAAAATTAACGTCCATGAATAACTAAATGTTGCTACATTTTAGAATCCCATGTTCTCATAATTTATAACATAGTAACTCCAAGTTATTAAACATAAATAGAATCTAGAGCGTTTTGATCATGTCAATCATGAATAATGTCCCATTAGATTAAATCATCCACGTTAACTTTACAATTAAATAATTTTAAACACTCTGAAGAAAACTATGCATGTGTTTATATACACATTATATACACATATGTATTTACATAAAATTAGTTCACTCTGAGTAAGGAAGATAGACGTTATTAAAAGGGCTACATATGCAATTAGCTTTAAAATAATCTTGTTACATCTTCATTTTTATGCTTAGGTAATTTCTTAATATTCTGAAATTTTTTGTCAAATAGTCACTGTCACTGTCACTGGCCTCCCGTTGTTCATCAATTTTCTCGAGCGGGCCAGGTAAACATCATAGCTCATCTTTAAGCTTACAATAAAAGATATTATTTTTATATACATTCTCTCTTTTATCTCCTTAATAAAAGTATGAGATCTTTGTCATTAATTACTTGAGCACATAAATAGTTGCAAATTGTGCATTGCTTCCCATTTGCACCAGCTCTTTTTCTTTGCATAAAAAACTATACCACTCTTAAAATGTGATAATTATCATTTTGATAATTATTGCAGTCAAAAAACTCAGGTTTGTATAGTTATCTATCTTCAGCACTAAATTGGAACATGGTGCATCCCTTCATTTTCTTTACAAGCCTCTATTGAAATTTGCAAACATTGTGCAGTCTCCTGAATTTCCAGGGTAAAATTGAGCATGAGATGACATCTAAAGGGACAATTTCCTGAGTCTGTCTCTTAGAGACTGATCACAGTTTAGCATTACAATTTTATCTTTCCAGTCTCTGTATTCTGACCAACATCAATCGTGTGTGAGATGTTTCTCTGTCTCCAGTGAAAATGATTCTTATAACTCTCCCAAAGTAACCTAAGAGACGACTCAGGATCAGAAACGTCCACGTTTTCTATTTCAGGGCTTAGCTCTCTAATAAATTCTGCTGACTGATGCATTGTCCAGTTTGTTGAAGTAATCTTTGACATAAGGAAAATATAACTACCTGCCCACTGCCTGACTTTCCCCAAACAGGATGCTCTGCTATGGTTCATTTACATTCTTTTAACCTGAAAATATAAGACACAGAGTAAATGTATGACAGACTTGCTATTGAAGGGCTAGAGAATGATGACACAGTTTCAAAATATCAAACTTTGGAAGTCACTTTAATTCAATGAACACAGCATCATTGGGTTATGGTGACTCTTGGGGCCCTGAGTCTGAGCATAGTTTCAAAGATACAAGTTCCCCATGCTAAATGGATTTATTTATTTATTTTTAAAAAAACTGGATTGCACTGTGGTTGATGCTGACACATCTCTCTGCATGTTATCCCACTCAGGAACAAGTACCTATTGACTTCCACTCTGTCTGTCCAATAGATGTGTTTATTACTCATGGATCCAGGGAAAAAGCAAAAAGGAAGGTGAGCAAACACTCATTTTGTTTTCAGGTGTGGCCCTGAGGATGTGTGTTGCTAGTGTCTTAGCCAAAGCCACAGCAGCAGACTGGCAAAAACACATTTTAACTTCATTGAGCTAGAAGTAGCCAACAAAATAGAGTTAGGCATCTCTTGAGAATACTCATGTGAACATTTAAAATTAAACTACATGACCTCTTACAGAACAAAAGTAGCTCTTGTTATTTTCTCTCCCCTTAATTTTTCATAACTATCATTTTTAGAGTGCCCCCAGAGCTGCTTCTACGCACACAACATGCCTGAAATGAATTCTGTTCAATGAGAAAGAAATGAGTCAGAACTTATGTTTGGTTACAATACCACGGAAATCTCTTTGAAGTCAGGAGTTGCATGAGAGAATATACAAAATATAATAGAATATTGCCTCATTATCTTGATACTATTGTTTCTGTTCCACTTTGCCCTGAGAATTTAGATTCTGGAGATTTCTAATTTCTAATTGGCTTCTAATAGCTTCTCTATGCCTCCTAACACCTTCATGTGCAATTTCTTCACAATTAGAAATAATTCAAGCACTTGTTTTTCATTGTTGCTGCCGGGTTGATCAGACCCAAATCCCAGACCATATTAAATTCTCCATCATTCACATTACTCAAAGATAGTCAATTATAACTCTAGTTATAAAGACAAAAAATATAGCATTGCTATGCTGTCCTTCAAGATTCATTGCAATACCACTTACCTCATCTTTTCAATCTCTTTGCCCTTTCTTGAGGCATGGAGAAAAGAGACCAATGATGAAGAATTAACTAGCGAGTATGAAAATTCACAGCAGATCAGGTGCAATTGCACAGATTTTCATGTGATCATTGTAGAAGACCCTGGAAAGGAAGATTACTATTGAGCTTTTAAAGAGAAGCCACCTCCTGAGGTTCAGAAGTGAAATGGATCACTCGGGTTTAGTCTAGAAAGTCAGAAGCCAGGATAAAACCTCTGCCTGCTCCAGCATCCCTTCGACTTCTCTAGAGAGGAAGCCCTCTTGTTCCTCTGAATCCAGAACACTGAACATTTATATAGAGATAATGAACCAAAATAAGGAGCACAGCTTGCCCAGTGTTTGCCACATGCCAGGGTCTTGTATAATTATCAGCGTCTCTTGCAAGTAACCCTCGGGATGGGGAGATCTTGTAGACATTCTCCTCAGATTGACTACACGATTTGAAGTGGGAATTCTTGACGCTCTCAATTAGTGTGGGCTGACTCTGGGCTGGGAGGAAGCGCTCAAGTTATTTTAGCTGATCACATCCATCTGGAATTTACATATGAGGGCTGAAATCCTGTTGTTCAAAGCTATGCATATTACACATCATTTTAATTGATGTTGGAGTAATCAAACGTGAGAACTTCCTCTGTGTGTGTGCGTGCGCGCGTGCGTGCATGCGTGTGTGTGTGTGTGTGTGTGTGTGTGTGTGTGTCTTTGGCGCCAACGAAAGGCATTGCAGTTCCTATTTATCTTCACCAATAGAAAGCTAACCTCGCAAGGAAAGTTCTATCTTCTCGAAACCCTGCCTGCCTTAGGTACTTTGGGGGAAGGCATTAAAGGGCATCGCTCAAGCTAAAATCTCAGGGCTACCACCGGGCTATGGATCACTGATGAATGAGCCAGCACTTGAATGTTTAGCAGCCTGTGACGACTTTGCACGGAAATAGGAACATTTATTACCAGCCTGCCACATCACTGCCTGCCCTGCCCGCTCTCTCTCTCTCTTCCCTCTCGGCACGCCGTCTACCTCCCACTCCCAAACCACAGCCCCGGTCCCTGTCCACCTGCCCTCGGCGCCCCTTCCCCCGCAGACACAGTGACAGAGACGAGAGAGACAGTACTCTCAGCTGTCCTGCCCATCATTTGTCGAGCAAGAGCTCCAAAGCTCCCAAAGCCGAGGATGCCTCGCGTCCGGGCTTTTGTTTTTCTTTCCTCCTCTTGCCGCTTCTGGTTGGCATCGCTTTGCCGGTGACCTTGCTAAAAGAGGGTCTCTCCGGCGGGTCTGCCGCGGGGGCTACGCCAGGCGGGCGAGCCACAAAGTAGACACGATGGGGGATATGAAGAGAGGGAGAGAGGGAGAGGGAGAGCGAGGGCAGGAGCCAGGCAGCGGCGGGCGCGCAGGGGAGGAGAGGAAGGATGCGAGGGGAGAGCATCAGGCGCACGGGCGGCGGCAGCCAATCAGCGGCGCGCTCGGGAGCTGCAGAGACAAGCCGCGGAGCCCGGGGCTGGACCAGCGCGGGGCTGAGTCTGGGGTTCTCGGCGCGGGCTGCGGGGCCCTCGGCGCTGGCCAAGTCCCCGCTCGGCTTCTAGATTAAGTTCCTTTCCACCAGTTAGGGTGAGTCCGCCAAGGTAAGGCTGCACTCAGTGAACACTTGACTCTGGAGGGGCATGCAGATTTTTGTGTGCAAATGGGCTGCGTCCCCGGCGGTGAATCAAAATAATATATGAATATTGGGGAGAGGGGTGGGGAGGAGGGGGCTTCCTCTCTCCGATTGGTTTGCAGTAGGAAGGGGAAAGTTTTTTTTTTTTTTTTTTTTTTTTTTTTTGGTTTAGGGATGCAGGAATGTTGCCACTGAACCTAGGGAATGCGAGTGTAGTAATCTAGCTGGGTCTCTATTTCTGTGTCTCTGCATCGGCTGGGTCTGCCTTGGCCCTAAAGAAGTTGCAAAGCTACTACTCTGCAAGGCACGTTGGAAATGAGGCATGACACCAGCCTTAGCGAGCACCGAGGTGTCCCCCGGAAAAGTGAGGGACTTGGGAGTCAGACGCGAGGACGGAAGGTGGAACAGGAATTTCGAGAGTGCTTGTAAATGATTGCCTTTTCCAGATTCCTCTAAAATTAATGATATCTGCGATCTGGGGCTGTAGCATAGCAATTCTGGTTTTCTCTTTTCTCTTCTCTTCTCTTCTCTTCTCTTCTCTTCTCTTCTCTTCTCTTCTCTTCTCTTCTCTTCTCTTCTCTTCTCTTCTCTTCTCTTCCCTTCCCTTCCCTTCCCTTCCCTTCTCTTCTCTTCTCTTCTCTTTTTTCAATTTCCTTCCTTCCTTCCTTCCTTCCTTCCTTCCTTCCTTCTTTCTTTCTTTCTTTCTTTCTTTCTTTCTTTCTTTCTTTCTTTCTCTTTCTTTCCATAATTTGCTTCCATAAATGCTTACTGGAGCTTCATATGAAACTTTTACTTCCTTAGAAAGAGCATTGTAAATGATGCATGAAAAGAAATTAGATAGGGTCTGAGATCAGACAACACACTTTATTTAGCGTCCTCTTTTCTGTTTGTTAGCTCTGATTCATTCCCCTTTTAAACTTCTGAAGCCAGCTTTAAGTGTAGGTTGGGGGAGAAGCTAGTATTTCGACTTTATTTTTATGGCTTGATGTAAAATTATGCCTGGGGCAAGCTTATTGCATGGATGTGTTGTGCCTACAGACGTTGAACTCGGAAAACCTTTCATACGTAACAGGTGAAAACCAGAATTTTATTAGCTGATTATAAAAGTATTTTTTCCTTAATGCCTGTTATATTTAATGAACTTTCAGGTTAATCAAGAGCAAGGGTTTCTATTTGCCTTCTGAATAGAAGAAATACACAAATAAAAATCCCAGTCAAAATTATTGTGGTTTTTGCTTCGCTCAGGTGATGGCATCATTGCTTTGAGCCAGGAGACAGATCTGTGAAAGATTTTAAGATGTAGCTCCCCCCACCCCTAAAAAGGGAGGGGGACACAACAACTCTAGACTGTGACTGTATTTTGGAACCTTTGTTTTCTACTCTGGAATCACACACCTTTCTTTTAGAACAGGAAGGAAGCTTTCCGTCTGCAGTAATAATTGTTCTCCTCTGAGTGTGCTTGTCTTAGTGAAAATATTTCATTCTAAGTTGAGAGGTCCAGACTAGATTTCATATCTCGTTAGATGTGGAGGAAGAAGGTAGATTCAAATACCAGTGGAGAATTGGTTCTGGTGTCCTAATGCTCTGGGCTAAGACCAAACCATTGTTTCACTTTCAGTCAAGATTCCTGCTATGAATCTAAATCTGCATTTCCTGAGAATAAATTAGTCTAGCATAGGTCCAACTCATGTATTCATTTCATAAGGTATTTATGTTATGGACCTTGGGAGATACGTGTTTTGTAAACTATAGTGCCCAAGCTCTTTCCCAAAGGTAGCTAACTTAAGGGAAGGGAGAGGGGGGTTGCAATTAAAATTATGTTAATAATTCTGTGATCCTGTTGCCTAATAACAATGATAAGGAAACAATGCAGATTTTTCATCTTATTATTTTATTTCTATTTATAAATAAATTTATTTCTATAAAGCAAATTCTCTGGGTAGACCACCCTCCCTCTACCCAGAGAATTTGCAATTTTAAGGGCTACAGCAATGTTGAATTGAATCTAATCCAAAAGCATAAAGGACTAGAATAGTAGAAGGATGGTAAGTGGCAAGTAACTTGAGCTGTAACTCTATCTACTATGTGTGGAATGTAATTAGCTAAAACATTGCAAACTTTGTCAGTGGCAATTTGTGCTTGAGTTAGATATATATTTCATGCTGGTTGGAATTTTAAATATATATAGTGGATTCAAGCAAATGAACCTGAATTCACATAGTTCAAATGAATTCACCTAATTCAACTAGTTGAACTCACATCCATTCTTCAGATGAATGGGGCTATTAATAGTAAATATAAGACAATTTGTTTATTATCCTTTATAAATATCATGATTATGCTTATCTTTAATTTTGTATCTGATGAATATTGCTAGTGATTTTGTCCACTTGTCCCTTTGACTTGTTGATTACTGAGTGTAACTAACCTATTCATAACCTGATATAAATTTATCTTTCATATCTAAACATGCATATAGCAGATCTAGGAGAGTATCTTGAAGTTACTGACCTGGAAAGTTTACTTATCTTGAATTTATGTATCTGATCCAATATAATCTAGTGAAAAGTGAGAGAATGAGATTAAGAAATTAAGACAGTAGTTGTTGTTTTAATAAGCAAAGCTCTTTACTTGCTGAGGTATATGGCTTTCTTATTGTTGCATTACGTATGTGCATTGGACTTTATTTCAATAAAGTATACTAAATCCTGGTTTATTGAAAATCTAACCTGTATACATATGATGGTGGCATTTGGAGGGAAAGGTGGTGTGCATTTTCTTTAGAGTGTAGCATGCTTGACTGTTTCTTATATCCTAGAGATGAGTGAGAAATGTATCCCCAAATAGAAACAACTTAATTATCTCAAGACCTGATTAACTTTTATCTGAGTGGGAAAAATCGTACCTTCTCCCACTGAATATCATTGTTCTGCGAAATAGCAAAGTATGTGTGTAGACATGGATGTGTACTACAATAATTTGTGTAGGCACCTTCCCACATACAGTTCAGTTCAGGCGCTCTGCAATTGTCTCCTCCTCTTATTTCACATGAATTTCTATTTGCAGATGTCTCTTTAGGCCCTACCCACAAAATTACACAACACTCTATTATATTATTTTTTCCTCCAAAAACTCAGAGAAACTAAGATGTGTGGGAACTAAAGGAAATAGAACCTGAGAAAAAGGGAAATGTGGGTGTTGAGAATGACGGCAAATTTCATTCCATTTATGTTTCCAAATGTACTTTTACTATAAATATTCCATAAGATATATTGATGCTCTCTAAAATTGTTTTCACTTTCTTTTGGAGTAGAAGAAAATGTTTAAGGTTTCAGGAAAAGGTATTCTTGCTAGCAGTTTCATGTTCTTGACATAGTTTATAATGTTTGCAAACAAAATTGCAGAAGTAAAAGAAAACTGCTTTGACTTACAAGGAATATTTTTAAGTGGTGATTGTATATAGCACAATAGGAAAAAAATAATGAACTCGGTTGTGTCAGACAGTGAAATATATGCATGTATATATGCCTAATTATAATGTTTATAATTATTATCATAATCATCATATAATAATTATATAATATGTACCATATAATATATGCATATGTTTGTAAATGCAACGTACACTTGTATGGTTATATACGCATTCCATTTTTCTCAACCAAAATAGAGAAATAAACATTGGCATGACAAGCAAATAAAACTGTGTTAAAATGTATTTGCAATTATATAAGATCTAGTCCCTTACTGAAAAATTGTCATAGATTCAATTCTCTGGTGACTCATTTGATGAGAATTGACTCAGTCTGCTAAATTTCCAACTCTTCGAGAGTGGCTAAAATTTATGTAAAAATAATCGCAGCATTGGACTAGAGAGATAGTTCAGAGGGATGAAGGCATGGTTTGCATTATGGAGGGCCACACCAGTCCCGACACTCTGTATTTCCCTGGAAAACCCCAGTATTGATACTCAAGCTGAGAGTCAAGCATGGCCCCGAACACTTTCAGGTATGATTTAAAAATGGAAATTTGAAAAAAAAAGGTATGGCAGGTGGGGTTGAGATACATTAATAACTCTTATACAGTTTTCTGTAAATGTATCTGAACACTTATTTGAAATATGTATATTAATATACAGGTAAATGTGAAATTAATATAGGTTTAGTTATAGTTATATGGAGGCATGCATTCATATAAGCATTTACACAGTCTTCATTTAATAAAATTTTGTATCATATACAACTAAGTAATGGTATATATATTCCTCAATGTGAGAATATAGAGATTTCATGAATTTTTTTTACAGGAATTTAGTACACCATTATGCCCTGACCTTATGTTTAACTCTGGGTTATTTTTAAGAATACGTACTGATTTAGAACCAAATATTCACTTTATATTAGGTTAATTTTAGATGGTTGATGCATCTGTCATATTGTTACATAGTTTGCATATTTAATATAATTTATGATATACTATACTATCATGCAAGTAATGCCAAGTGTTTTTTTTTATGAAGAGTAAAGGAAGACCACACAAATGAAATAATACAGAGACTTTATAATTGTTGATAATATTTACACTTTTCAATGTGCACAGATTTCTAGAAGAGATTTCTAAGAACATAAAAAACAAACAAATGAAGAAGTAGATGATATAAAGAAAATTGTGGTGAAATAAACCCTATCCCTGCTATTACTTTACAGATATCAGAAAACTCTGATAGGCAAACATCTGCATAACTAAGCTTATATCAATTCAGGAAATAATTTGGAAATTTGAGAATATAATTAGAATTATTGTCCTCTTAAAACAAGAAAATGAGTTCCTTCAAATCCAGGATTATGTCTTACTCAAAATTCTACTAAAACTGGGATGGAGAGATAGCACAGCGAGTAGGGTGTTTGCCTTGCATGCGGCCGACCCAGGTTCGATTCCCAGCATCCCATATGGTCCCCTGAGCACCGC